ACTAGGGGCCTAATCACATGAAAACGAACTCATCCTTCAGATAGAGCTAAATGTGCATGACAAAATAACCTTTTAATAAAAATACAGATTATCATTCCCTTTGTAGCATCGGGAATGTCTGTCGGCTCACTGGGAGCCGGAGTGACTGTTTCTGTTCCTCTGACTGCAGTGACAAATTAAAATGTGAAATGCAGTTTTTCTGACATGCATGGGAGGTCAGAACTGCAAGTGGTACGGGACCTGAACGCCAAATGGGGTATGGGCTCAGAGAACTTCAGGATATGGGCTCAGAGAACTTCAGGATATGGGCTCAGAGAACTTCAGGATATGGGCTCAGAGAACTTCAGGATATGGGCTCAGAGAACTTCAGGATATGGGCTCTGCCCCCCCCCCCCCCCCCCCTTTTCATCTACCACCCTCACATAAACCTGAACTGTTCACTGAGATACTCTATGTACTTCTCTCCTTCAAGGAGCACACTGCATTTTCAAGCCAGTGCAGGGACTGCTGCTCTCTCTTTTGTGATTCAGCACCATTCACTTCCGTTCCCCAGGATGTATGCACTCCTTCTGTGGCCCAATCCCCTGTGCTGCTCTGCGGCAAGGTTATGCATTCTGTCAGTTGCTCTCAATATCTCTAGGACCGCCCCATCACCGTGACGACGTTCCAGAAATCCAAGGGTTTGCCTAGGGGTTAAAGATCAAGCAGGGGAAGACAGCTCACTAGGTCTGGTCCCCATTTATTAGGTTGGTAAAGTTTAATAAACAGAAATACTCTCACATCCTGCAAGACGGAGAGATTTTTTTATATTGCCCGTTTTAGTATATCAAAGACCAAATTCGGAAAAACGCCAGTCATGTTAATGGGTTTGAACTAGTGCAAACGGAGGAATATGCCGCTCAACAGCCACAGCACGAACCTTGAAATCACCTCCAACCACCAACACCCTCCAACAATGTGCCGAACCGGCAGCCCACTGCGAGGGCCAGGGCTACGTCCACACCATTACCCCTCTCGACTGCTTTGTGATTGTTCTGGAACAAAGAGGCACCATCGCAGTGACGGACAGAGGATGTTACAGGAAGAAAAAGGCAGGCTGGGGGGTGAGCTGTAAACGCGGTATAGTACCCCACACCTGCCCCACCTTCAGCAGCCTCACAAAAGGCGTCTCCGCCTCAGCGGTGACACCAAAAACATCCAGACTTCATCGTACCGTTGTCCAAAAAAATGCAGCCTGTCCCCTTTTACCTCCCATGTGAAAGGGACCGAGGCCACGGTGAATCTGTCAGGCCTCGGTGGGGGACCTTGGCATCACGATGTGGTGACGCCGAGCGCAGCAATCTGCAGGCGTGCTGAGAGACCCGCAGCGCGGTCAATCTCACGCCAAGCAGCCGGAATGCAAATATACCAGCGAGCCAGAGCACGAGGCGACACAGGGAGAGGCTTCAAATCCCATTAAATTACAGCCGCGACACCGTGCATCATCCTCCATTACAGGCAGAGGAACGGAGTGTCCATTCCGAATTAAAGAGCTTTGAAAGTCTCCTTCAAAGCTGCAACAGAAATGTCCAGGGAAATGTCCACTTTTCAGAGGGAGATGAATCATTGGAAATAAATAAGGAAAAGGATTTTTTAATTATTACTATACAAATATCCTCATCTGCTGTAATTCATGATGACAGGATGGGCCGAAATGCTTCTCTGATTGGTGGGAGGATGATTTACATGCCACAAATGTTTCTTTTTTTTATTTTTTATAGCAGGCTATATCAAGGCAAGTCAACCTGGAATTTATTGTCATGCCACCCATACACAAGTACACGCTGGTACGGGACGTCGCTCCAACAGGCACCACGGTGCAACATAGGATACAATTACAGGGGTAAAGTGCAGATTCACACATGACAAGGGGGCAGACACACAGTATACATATGAGGAACGTAGCAGCAGTATATAAATATGGCATATAAACTATGTAACATGGTTAGAATGGTGTAACTATTTGTACATAACAATATTGAATATAATCTTTCTGTACATTAGACGCAGTATGTGAACTATGAAACATAAATCGAAATGTGGTATATAAGCTACTGGTACATAATATAGTATGGTATATTATAGTATAGGAGAGCAGCAGGTAAAGTAGCAGCAGATAAAAGTGCAAACATGCTAGTTAGAGAAAGTTAAGTGTCTGTAAAGTTAAGTGTCTATATCAATTCATCAATATCACGGATCAATAGTGATGTTTAACATTAATAATAATAATCTTATCAATAACAAGAGAATAACGCTGAGAAAACAAATGATGATGATGATGATGATGATGATGATACCACGGCTGAAATAATAAGAATGTGTGCGGTTGTAGTTTTCAGAGACAGCCACACCTGTGCGCACATGCACACGCACACACATTGCTCAGACTTTCATCACCTGCTCTGAAACTGCCTAGGCTGTCTGTACCATGTCAGCATATACAACATCACTTCATTATTCTGACGTAGAAGGTGGGGCATTCCGACAGCAGGTGGCAGAGCGGTTAAGGGTGCGGCTGTCAGGAGGACCGGAAGGTGACTGGATCTAACCAAAGGACCTCAGGGCCGGGCGTCAGGCGGGAGAGTGACGGGGACTGGCTGGACAATAATCTAGCCTCGCGTGCATGACAATGAGAGGGGCGTGACCTCAGTGACAGGAAGGTCAGGAACATGTACGGCCGGGTCAACTGACCAGCTGCGGGCAGACGGGAGGGACCGGGAAGGACCGGGCGGAACTGCGGAAAATGTCAGCCACCTGACTAGCAGAACAATGGGACGCCACTCCCACCCCCGTGACCTTTTACAGACACTCCAAAGGGGTCTGTCTGGAAGCTCGCATTTTCAGACAAAGGACACGCCCCTTCACGAAAGCTGCGGAAAGGTCACCCAACCATCACAGCTGGGAAAGAAGGCGGGGACCAGGGGACCCCTCCTCCACCGTGGTAAATCCCGCCCACCGGAAGTCAGGCCGCCTCCCTCGCTTCTGATTTACTGTATGGCTGTGAACGTGACCCTCTTAGCTCCCTGCGGACTGCAGAGCATGGAGAGATGATCACTCCCACCAAAGCTGCTGCAGATAGAGGGGTGATGCGGCCAGACCGTGGGCCAGTCACACGCTGAAGCTCAGAGAGCAGCCTTGGCCTGCACACTGCACCGTGCTGGAGTTTGCTCAGCAACACTGGCCAAGTCACGCTTGACTAGACGCTACGTTACAGACCGAAGTCCATTTATAATATCCTGCCGCACCTGTATCTGCTTTTTTCTTGCTTATTGTTGCTTTATAACTGAGATAATAACAATGACAAAGAATAACAGCAGCATAGCACAGCGAATGTGTCAGTCTTTGAACATATTCTCTAGGGTTACAAACACACCCACATAGATGCACCAAATAACACACATTCAGTCACTCCTGCGATCTCCTGTCCCGCCAGAGGCGGACAGCCCATTTGTCAGCTTTCCTCTAGACATTTCTGTGCGAATCAGGCCTCCATCTACTCAAGCAACTCAAATAACTTCATAGACTCGTTTACTTTAGACTGCATACCCAGAAGATTTCGCTCCGCCAGACAGTTATCTTTGTGGCTGTGTTTTTATCGTTATTATTACCGTGGTGATCCAGGGAGTGTCAGTAAAGCAGCAACGTGGCTCACATCTCTGCCTGCCGGTCGGAGATGGTGCCCAGTAAAGACTCCTCTGATGAAAATGCTTATTATTACGGGTGCTATTAAGCACTGGGGATTTCCGAATTGACGCTCACAGCTTTGTCATGCCTTTGTCACGCCAGTAGGCACCCAGACCTGGGGGGGGGGGGGGGGGGTCTCCTTGTTAAAGCGCTTGTGCCTTACAGGTGACACCGGTGATATGTGTTAATTTTCTGGAATGCGGCGTGACACCTTAACTTAGTGGGTGTTATGGGTATCAAAGTGGGGCGCGGGCAGCGGGGCGCGGGCAGCGGGGCGCGGGCAGCGGGGCGCGGGCAGCGGGGCGCGGGCAGCGGAGCCGGGAGTGGCCCGGAGTGGCTTTCGGGACACGCAGAGCTCTATTGATGGCCGAGCCAGACGAGACGATACCTTTAATGGACTCGGGAGTCTGAGATGAGACAGAGATGGATCGGCTCACTCTGAGTCAGCTCTTTATCCATAGAGGACGCAGCGAGCCGGGGTGGGGTGGAGGGCTCCCGTTCCCCCCTTCAGTTCCGCTCGGCAGACAGCTGGGTCAGGTTTATGGGGGGGTAGGGGGTGGGGCGGCAGGCTTCTGTTCTTAATAAAAGCTGCTGCTGACTTGCCTCCATCCTGCACTCCACAACATCAAAGCTAACGGATCCCTTATTTCTAAATTAAATTCACATTTTTTTTTTATTTATTTATTTGTATTGTGCTTTTTAACATGACGACCCCCCCCAGTGGTGCTTTTTATTACAAGCGAGGCACTTCAGTGCAGTGAAGCGATCCCAGAATAACTGAACCAAATCATAAGCGCTATTTTAAATGTTATTGTTTAAACGAGTGGGCATTGTCAACAAGGCATATACATCGCAACAGCTTGTCTTTACACACAGCATACGGCCGGGAAAATGATAAGTAATTCCTCGATAAACAGTAAGTGCGGGAGAAGCAGAATGCCTCGCTGGGAACGTCACCATTTCACAGCGGCTTGCGGTGAAAGCCGACAGCCAATCACTGCTGGTACTTAATTATGATGGACAAAGACGATGTAGAATAGAACTGTGCCAAATATTTAGGCATTTTACCGCTGGTAAAACCTCAGATGAAGAGAGAATTTGAAAGACAATCTGCAGATTCACCTTCATCAGCAGATGGCAAAGATGGACAGTGTGGTCATCTTTAAAGGGCCCTGAATCCCCCGCCCCCCCAAACACACAGTATTCCCATAAAACGTCCCTTCCAGCCATTCCCAAATCTCCGCCCTGGGTGTGCCTGGTGCCGTCGGAGCCCCTACCTTCTTGGCAGCGTTGACACACAGCATGTACTCCTTGGCCAGACCGGAGCAGCTCAGAGTCCGCTCTCCGTTGTCCCGGTAACAGTCGAGGATCTGGGCTTGCAGGCCGCTGCAGACTGGTGCCGTGCTCCTGGGCCTGGGGGGGGAGGGGGTACAGACGGGCCGGTCGCAGGTCAGTACACACCTCTGTGCCACAGAGAGAGCCATTTACTGCGTCTTTGGGGGTGGGGGGGCACTAGTGATAAAGCATCTGTGTGTGTGCTGGGGGGGCACTACAGATGAAGCATCGGTGTGTGCCGGGAGTGGGGGGTGGGCACTAGTGATAAGGCATTTGTGTGTGTGCTGGGGGGGGGGGGGGCACTAAGCTTCTGGGTGTGTGCCACACAGAAACGGTACTACCAGTGACTACCCAAAAAAGACGAGCATGAGACTTACTGCCGCCAGTCCGTTTCAGAGTCTTTTGACAAGGTTCCTTTCTGAACATCATCTCAGCGCTTCACCGAAAGAACAGTACAGCATACATACACAATCACACATTCAGATGACAGCAAGTCCTGCGAGGACGGCCCGACAGCACCAACAGACGGTGTCGTGGTTCAGATCAGAAGGATTCTAGAATGGGTCCGGCTCCAGCACCCTCTGGAACGAGGCGTTCGACCTCCATTCAAATATCCTGCTGTAAATATGTTTTCCTGAAACTTGATTTTGATACCAGCACTAGTTTAATGGTAAATTATTGATAATGGCAAATATTTAGGTGCCCAAATATTTGGCACTATCTATAATTTACCATTAAACTAGTGCTGGATAATTCTGTCTGTCACATAATTTGAAATGTGGCTTTAAAACAAATTATTACATTTGGCCCAGTGTGTTCGGCACGATGTCCTTCAGATCACTCATAAGCTCGGTGCCCAGACCATGCCCGGGAGCATTAGCGTCGGCTGCTTTGTCATCAGTTTTTCGGTGCCATGCGCGATGTCGGGATTCACTGCATGCATGTCCGAAAGCAGACAGCTGGCTGCTCGCTCGCAGGCCTGGGGGATGGCCCTAGGGGGCGATCACCCAGCAGTCAGTGCACACTGCACCCCCCCCAATCAGGGAACCTTGGACAAGAGCAGCACATGGAGCATGGAGTTATGCTACTTCAGAATGGCTTGGCTACTGTGTTCTCATTGGCTTAAACTATGACTGACAGCACAGTAAGTCCCACCCACTGCAGGTCTGGAGTGCAGGTCCTTCACCCTGCTTATTCAGTAAGTGTCATCAATTTAAAACAGCACATTGCCTACACCTGTGGCAGCAGTGTTACCCCACCCTCGCCCACGTCGCTCCTGCCTGTTTTTTTCTTGAATCACATACTCATGCAAGATGGCACTTAGGCTAATGAGGCAAAACGCATGGGTCAAAGGCTTTGTGGCAGGTTTTTAGCTCTCTGCTATCCCAACGCCAAAGGTCCAAGTCTCACAGCCGTGACAAAGGCCGCCGTGCCCGTTTCTGGTCAGATATTTATTACGGTGTTAATTACCGCCATTTGTCCCACAAAAATTATGAACGTCGCCTTCGACTCGCTGGATACCAAACGGCCCCGTCACCGGGTCACTTGTCAGATGCCTCTGTTGCCGAGCGGGTTGTCATTAGCAAGTGGCAGCTTATACCCCCCCCCCCCCACTTTGTAATTTATGCTACATTACACACCTAAATAGGAAACACATCCACTTTCACAGCAGCACCCTGGCAGAAGACCAAAGGAGCCACCTGAACCGGACCCATAATTCCTGGCCCTCGACCCCAGTAAACAGAGCGATTGTGTGTGTCTTTGCCTGGTCAAATGCCCCCCCCAAGTCCTCAGCTGAAGTACGTGGGAATGTGGAGGCGGCCGGATGCGTTAAACTGAACTAACGGAAGAGAAAATATTCATTAATACAGCAGCCAGACGGTGATGTATGATGATGAATAACTCAGTGCACAGGCTGAGCGTAACCTTGGCAACCTTTCGGCACGGGTGTCAGCCTCGGCCCGGTAAGCCGACACGCGGACGTATCGGGCCCTCCAGCCCGCTCTGGGTGGCACCAAACACACTCGGTGGCGCCTCATAAGGCAGCCAGCTCAAAGTGCCTGGGCTGCTATTTAACGAAGGTCTCTAAGCTCCGCTGTCAGCTCATACCCCTGGCAGCCACTTTGTATTAATTTTTCTGCCCCATGCAAACAGCGTATTCCCTGAGATAAGGCACACGTGCATCTCTCTGTTCCAGTCCTGGAGTGAACACCTTTCTCTGCAGCTCTCGGACGCAGGGGGTGCTCAAAACAGGCAGAAATGTGCATGCGGTAGTAGGTGGTTCACAGGTGAGGGTGCCGTGCCTCTGACTGGAAGGTCTTTGGTTCAGATCCCACTATCAGCAACGATTTCACTGCCGGTTCCTTTAGTTGAGGCTCTTAACCCCTTATTGCACCAAGGACTGGCTAACCGTGATTTCTCAAAGCATCTACTAAATAAATAAAACCTTTTTTTTCCAGGGTCCACAATGTTCGTAGTGCAACACTGCCCAAACTGCAAATACCTGAATATCGCAGGACTGCCCAGGCGCCCGCACACCTTAGCCCCCAATATCGTTCCCCATCCAAATTAATTGAACGTGAGGTAATTAAATGCAACAGTTTCATTTTTTATTGCGTGTAGCAGCGGCCGCTTTAATTAAACCGATTCAAGACTTCCGGCCCTTTCAATAAAGTCTTGTATCGTTTCGTTTCTTTTTGTTATCTTGCTAAAGCGAATGGTATGAAAAAAGGGACGGGAGACGCACTTAGATCAACACATTTTTTGATCAAATGTGGAAGCCTATTGCGTTTAATTAACCCGGCAGTAAATGAATAAAGCGGGCGCATTCTTCACACAGGCGGATGAGAAACTCGCTTTTCATTTAAGGCAGATGAGAGGATGAGACGCCCGATAGGAAAGGCGCTTTAATAACGGGGTGTGAAGCAGAAAATTGGTTCGCCGCTGCACTGCGCTTCTTTGAGCCAAATTGGAGGTGAGGTCTTATTAAAAACATTAGCTGAGCCCCGTTACAAATTAACTTTGTGGAAGGAAATATTATATATATATATATATATATATATATATATATATATATATATATATATATATATATATATATATATATATATATATATATATGAAAGTCGCTCTAATGCCAGTTCCTGGTATGCATCGCCAAGTAAATATAACAGCGCGTTACTTTTAATAGGAGATAAAAGGAAACGATAAGGAAATGAATAAATGCATAATTTTGAGGAGAAGACAAAGGCGGTTGGGTTTATTTAGTTCTCTTTAAGCTGGCCGACGCGCCGCCTTCGCATCTGTTCGGCGGATCCAGGAAGCGGAGCGAGCCTCGGTTCGTCAGTTACAAGACAGGAAAAGCGACGGGAAAATTAATGAAATAATATTAAATCACATCTACACGCTAAGCACAGATCTGGGTGGGCTGCCGACCCGCGGCCGGGCAGGTAACGGTGTAAAAACTGAGGTTACGCAGCCACGAAATTCTACTCGCATTCGAATTAAGGCGCCAGACTTACGGTCTATCACCGTAAGTCGCACAATCACCTCATTCAACAGACAACGGAACGGTGAGATGTTACAAGCTCATCGGCACCATATAACTCCGATCGTTTCAGCAAACACCCTGGCACCGACCTGCCCTGCAAAAGCTTTTACTTGTACTTGTACTTTAAATTCACAAAAAGCTTTTTCCTCTTTATAACCCTGACACTTTCCAGGGCACCAGTTGGTCTATCTCTCCCAGCATGACCCAGACCCTGCATCTACTACTTAAGACTCCAAACGCATAATATTAGAACATATACATTTTAGGAATAAAAAGACATTTTATCTAATTTCACTGTCCCTCACTTGTGTAAATCAGTATGAAAGGGAATTAGGATTAACAAATTAATCAATGTGTTAATTGTTCGGAAACCAGAAACTGCATAATTTGCATCATTACAAAATTTAACAATTATAAAGTTGAACCAAGTTATTGTATTAAAGACTACAAAACAAAGAAACACTTTTTTTTTTTAGGCTCTCATTAGCGCCAATGCACCAAACCAAAACTCTTCCGGAAGGTTGAGACTGGTTTGACCGGCTGCCCAGCAAAGCCCAATTATTCAACAGAACCCTGCGCTGATGGGAGTCCGGACAGGCCCGATGGGCCGCTACTCCGCTGGACGTGCTGACATGCGCTACGAAGGGCCTTACGAGAGGAACCGGGAAACCGCTCAGCTGTGATGTATTACATGGGGGGGGGTGCTGCCGGTGACCACTGTTGGTCCTTTGTCTCTTTTCCTTTGAGGTGCTGTCTCATGATGTATTGGGGGGGGAGAGAAAAGTTAAGCCTACAGGAAAACTCTGGATAACTTATTGCACGGTTCAGCGCGTCAGCTAATGCTACCCACAAGAGTTATTACGGCAGGCCCGGCCGGCACCTGCCGCCCGCGCTGAGAGGAGTGGCGGGCGCCGTTACCGCGGAGAGGCAAGCCCTGCCGTCTGCTCTGCCGGTGATGGATGTGGGCCTCACATGTCCCGGACAGTCGGTGTCTCGTATAATGAATGCTTTTGTTTGGGGAGCGAAAAAACAAAACGGTAGGCTCCCTAATTGGCTCCTGTTGTCAGCTGCGGTTTGCAGTGACGTACGGGGGGGGTCCACCACCGGGGGTCGAACTTGTGTGCGGGCACCAAGGTTGATGTAGGCAGAGGTGGGGGAGGGGCACACTTGTGCCACTCACACTGTCAGATCCTCTCATACTGTGCCCTGGCTGCCCCCCCCCAAAATCAGGCCGGAGGGTCCCGAAGGTCGGCCCTCATCTATATTTCAGAAGTCGACAAGCGCTTCCGAAACACCGCAGAAACCTTCCGAAACACCGCAGAAACCTTCCGAAACACCGCAGAAACCTTCCGAAACAACGCAGAAACCTTCCGAAACAACGCGGACACCGGGAGGGCACTGTCACAATTCACTGAGCAGACTTGTGACGGGCACCGCCGAATGGGCAGAGGTGCATTTGCCACCTGAGAGATGAGAGGAAGGAGAGGAGACTGCAGGAGAGAGAGAGATAGGGAGGGATGGAGGATAA